GTTACCGCAACTTGGATCACACCGGATTTTGAAATTAAAGATGTAATGTTAGAAAACAAATATGTTCCTTCTCCACATTCTAGTGATGTTATTACTAATAAACTTTACAGATGTATCAAGGATTGGAATCTTGAGCAGCGTGTGACATCAATCACCACTGATAACGGGTCAAACATGGTTGCAATGTTTCGTTTATTGAATCAGAAAAGTGGATGTGAAGATGTTAAACGCCTTTCTTGCACAGCACATACCATCCAATTGGCAATTGGAAAGGGGTTGGCACCTGCAGAGATTTTGGTAGCACGTGCAAGGAGATTAATTCATTTTTTTCAATATCAAAAACAAGTAGAAAGATTAGAGCAGGTACAAAAAAAGCTTGACTATGTAGATATTATGCGCTGTATTCAAGACGTATCTACACGTTGGAATTCAACGTATTATGCTTGGGATCGTCTTTTCTTTTTAAAAGATGCTATTATCCAACTTCAAGCAGATTTATGCACATCAACTGATCGGGAAAGTAAGAAAGATGGCAATAAATTGAAAAGAATCTTACTTTCTGATGAAGAATGGAGTCTGTTAGATCAACTTATTGATATATTAATGCCATTTGAGGAAGCAACCCGCGAATTTTCTGGCAATACATATGTAACTTTAAGCCAAACCATTCCAACTATTAAGGCAAAAATTTTTGATTTGGCTTCTGAAGTACCACAAAATGTTGGTGAGTTTTTGGATGAGGATACTGTATTTGACTCTGAAATTGTAGAAACACGTCCTATTGATTTTGATGATGATGAAGTTATAAGTAATATTACAAAGGAAAATATTTCAATTAAAAATTCATTAGATACAACAGGTGTTTTAGAGAAAGTAAAGCAAAATATATACAATGCACTAATTTACTACTGGAATATTCCAAACGATCTTGGTTTAATGGCAGCTTTACTGGATCCTCGTTATAAAAATTTGGATTTTATAGAAATTGATACTGAGAAAGAACGAATTATTCAAAAACTTCGTGATGAAATTGGTGAGGTAGTAGTACCAGAATCTGAAACTTTGAATAACCCAGCTCCATCCATAGATATAGAATCTTCAATACGTTCGCATAAAGAATATCGTCAACGGCGTCAAAGTAAAACTAAAAAAGCAATTCCGAACATGGTAATTTGTGATGAAGTTACGAATTATTTGTCATTGCCATTAGCATTAGAGACAGAAAATCCTTTAGATTGGTGGCGAATACGTTCTCAAAATTTTCCAAAACTTGCCAAGTTAGCTCGCAAGTATCTTGCAATACCGGCAACCTCAGTATCAAGCGAACGACTGTTCTCTGATGCTGGTAATCTCATTAGTGCTAAGAGGACAAGTTTAGATACAAAATTAGCAGGTCAAATGCTATTTTTAAAGAGAAATATTAAAACAATGAAAGTTTTTGCACCAGAATGGGATGAAAATATTGAGATAAACTAAATTTTATTAAATTTCAATAAAATTTTGATGATTTTATAAATTGTTTTTACAATATTTTGAACTGTTAATACATTGAATTTCTAGGTTTAATACCATTTTTTCGTTTTATAAATTTTTAAATTTAATATTTATCTATCATTTAAAATTCTAATAAATTTTCAATTTAATGATTACAATAAATAAGTTAATTACTGCAAAATAAACATATACGAAAAACAAACTGATTAAAAAATAATTAGGAGAGCCGGGGGGTTATTTTTTTATTTTTTTTATAATAATTTATTAATTTTTATTCATTTGAAAATATAAGTGATTAGTTAATTATATTTTAAAAAAGAAAACAGATTAGAATTTAAAATACGGATGAAATCCGAATTTGGTTTAAATTTATGGATATCTGAATTGATTTTAGAATCCGAATTGGGTCAAATTACGGATGGAATCCGAATTTAAGTGATCATCCGTAAGATTTTTGAATTCGAATTACAAACCGGATTCAGTAATAGGAATTCGGATTTGATCCGAATGGCCTCCAAAATATCGGATCGGACCCCTAGTTTAAAATTTTCTTCTATAAAAAAATGAAATAAATAAATAAGTGCAATATTTGAGATAATACTTCGAGTAAAAAGCAAAATAAAGAATAAAGAGTAAAAGAGAAACAGTTTGTATTTTTCCCAATTTATATCATTCGCGTGCATGCAAAAACAAACAAATGATCAGCATCCATGTGATAATTATCCAATCATAATCTATGAATGATAGCGATTAAATCACATGATATATATATATCCGGATTTATGCCGATATTGTAGATATGAATTTTTGTAAGATATAATAATATATTCGAAATTGCATTACAACATCTATTAATCTATTATGGTATAGATTTAATTTTATTCAAAATAATAAAATTTGTTCGTTATAATGCCAAACAGTCAAGTCGCGAGCGATTAGATTGATAG